GGCTCACTATGATAATTCAATTCTTATGTGCTATGTATAATGATCCAATCAGGGTAAATTAGCATTTCCATCTCCTTAAACATTGGTCATTTGTTTGTGTTCCTAACCTTTGAACTCTTTCTTCTTGTAGTTCTCTGTAAAATATATAGTAAAGTTTTGTAAACTATAATCACCTTGCTCTGCTATAGAACATAAAATTATTCTTCTGATCTAGCTGTATTTTGGAACCCATTTTTTAACCTCCCTTTACTTCTCCTTCCCACTGCTACTTCTAACCTCCGTTAAGCTCTCTATTCTTTCCCCTACTTCTGTGCAATTGACTTTTTCGGTTCAGCTTGCACGTTTGAGTGAGAACATGTAATATTTGCCTTTCTTGGTTTGGCTTATGTCACTTAATATAATTTCCTCCAGTTCCATCCATATTACTGAAAATGACAAGATTTTCTTCCTTTTTATGACTAAATATCACAATATATCCCATTATGTGTATATAACACATTTTCTTTGTCCATTCATCTATTGATGGACACTTTGGTTGATTCCATTTCTTGGCTGGGAATCATGCTGCAGGAGACATGCGAGGGCAAGTGTCTCCTTCATGTACTGATTTCATTTCCTTTGGATGCATACTCAGTAGTCTGATTGCTGGCTCATATAGTAGTTCTATTTTCAGTGTCTTCATGCTATTTTCATAATGTCTGTACTAACTTACATTCCCACCAGCAGCATGAGAATTGCACTCTTTCCACATTCTCGCCAACATTTGTTATTTTGCCTTTCTACTGGTTGAAATAATATCTTATTGTGGTTTTAATTTGTATTTCCCTGATGATCCGTGGTACTGAGATTTTTTTTTTTAATGTACTTGTTAGCCATTTGCACATCTTCTTTTGAGAAATGTCTATTCAGGCCATTTATCAACTTTTAAATGGGATTATTTGTTTTACTGCTGTTATTTTGTTTGAGTTTCTTGTATAGTCTGGATATTAATCTCTTGTTGGATGAATAGTTTCTTTTTAAAAAATTCTGCCATGTTTCTTCCTCATCTCTGTCTCCAAGAAATGGAGTCAACCAAATATGGGCTGCGACTTCTGAAACTGTGAACCCCCAATAAACTTTTCCTCCTTAAAAAAAATTGTGTTCAATACTCATACATACATACTTATGTAGTAGAGTGTGATAATTTGATAAATGTATGTGATGTGTAATGGTTCAATAAGGGCAACTGGAATTTCCTTGTGTTGGAAACTTTTGAACTCTTTTCATCTTGTTCTTTATAAAATAAGCAGCAAACTGTGGTAAACTCTAGTTGCCTGACGTGTTGCAGAAGTTTTCTTCCTATTTAGCTGCATTTTGGTTATTACATGAAGAGTTTCTTATTTGCAGGTTTTGATACCTGTGTTTACTTGATTATACCAGAAGGTGTCAACAGAATATTTTCAGAAAATAGCCAGAACTCATATTCCATTCTCAAGTAGACCTAAGTGGGTTTGTTGACTGAAACACTGAAGGATTGTGATAAGCCAACTGAGACTCTAGGAGTCACATCTGAGTTCAAACATGAGCAAGTGATGCTAATTAGTCTGTAATTCCCACTGGCTGACAACAGTTGTGAGAGGCACTCCTTTGAGAGGTGTAAACATGAGAAAATGATTATTCAGAATTGATGAAAATGATGGACATTTTATTAGATTACAGACATTACATTAGACTGATTATTCTACAAAGAGAAATTACTGAACTAATCAGTCCTTTTATCATTATATAACACTAAACAGCGGTATTCTAAAGTTTGTGACCATACTTTAATTTCTCTTGCATTTGGTTATTTCCAGAATTTCAGGAAAATTAAGAAGGATTGAAACATTTTGTGGTTAGATTTCAGGTTTGTTCCAATAATAGACAATGCTAAGGTCAGTCCCTGGGAATTGAGCCTTCCTCTTGGAAGGATTTGAAATGGGGCAACAATACGAACTTTGAAGCCAACAGTGTGGGTCTAAATCTTAACTCTGTAAGCAGTTACTGGAAGACTCTGATAGAATCTTTTATTTCTCTAAAACCTTCCTTTCCTACATGAAGAAGGATTTTAATATTTATTTGTAGGATCATTTAAAAGATTAAAATCATTGAAATCTGGTAGTTGTTCAACAAAGGATTAACTTCTAGTGTATGAGGTCTGTTTCTCTCTGGGTATCAGAGTAGGCCTTAAAACTATCATTTGGCTATGTTTAGTCTAGAAACTTTAACATTTATTTTCAGTGATCTTTAACTTGTGATATAATGAAGACTAAAAAAAATTTGTAACAGATCAGAGTAAATAGTGCAATGCTTTGAAAAAGACTTATATTCAAATACACATAGGTGCATGAACTTCACATGGTATTATGCAGCAATTAGGAAGCAGGTCCTTCTCATCAGACTGAATCAGTTCAGCCCTGAGCCAAGATTTGACAATGACTGGATTTCACCTTGGGTCCTGCTAGGCGTCCCCTTCGCTCAGTATCAGGCTCACTACCATCTTCTACTTAGTGTCGTGAATCTATATGGAGCCCTGCCAATCTCTAATGGACTGGTCATTTCTTTCTATCGCTGGTCATGTACTGAAGGCTGGGAGTTTTCAGTCTCTAGTATGTAAAGCAAGGGTCTTCAGCTTGTCAAGATTTATCCATGTTAATGCTCCTAGGGCCTCACACACAGGTTCCACAAGCACCTCCAGAAGATGAATGCAAACTCTCTTCTGTTATTTGGTAACAGGATTTTGTGAGATGATCTCTTTTTGTTGCTTTTTTTCTCTTTTCTTCTATGTCTGTCTTTCCCCCCTGTCTCTTACAGATCCCATCGGCCGCAGCAGCTGACTTCACACACAGCTGTCTGCTTGGGGTTTCTCTGAAAGTTTATTTAGTCTTGCTTCACATGTCCAGAGCAGTTCTCTTTGGTGAGTACCAGGTAGCTGCAATACTCATCTCAGGGGACAGGATAGTGCCCATCACCAATTAATCCCATCAATTTCAATTGTGAAACAGCATTGCACAGTGAAAAGAAGGTGCATCTTGGAGTTGGTTTGAATTTTCACTCTGCCAAAGACTAGGGGAACAACCTTGGCCATTCCACCTAGTGTCTCTGAACCTCAGTTTTCTCATTGATGAAACGGAGGCAGTCTTTCCTTCTTGAGTTCACACAAATGCTAAATAGGCTGACATTTGTAAAGTCATTGGCGCAAAGCCTCTCAGTAAATGATTCCCATCATTAAGTGCACACCGTTATCTTGCACTCATTGATGGAGTCAGCATCGAGACCTCCTCTTTGGATGAAATTTCACTCTCTTTAGACTGATGAACTTTTTGGACTCTCCTTGGAAAGAGCTCACAGCTGGTGGGGGAGGAAGGGTGGGCTTTAATAGTGTGAATGGTGCGGCAGCCCCAGTACATATATTTTTAAAACAGTAAAACCTACTAAATCTTAACAATCACTTTCCACTATGACTTGAAATTAATATTTGCTTTTAGTGAAGAGGGCAGTGCTGAAATATTAGTTTGAGTGCCTTATCTAAGTTCCCTGGAAGAACCACATTTTGTAGCCGGGCTGCAGGTCATCCTCATCAGATTCCTTTCCTAGTGCTGGGTGTCCTGTTTAATGGAGCTTTCATTGTCACTGCGTGTGCTTAAGGTAAAGCATGCGGCTGACACGTGTCTCCTTCGTAGCCCCTTACTGTGAGAACCTGACTGTGGTGAAGGCTTTCATTCATGGGACTGTTGATGAGGCTAACAGGAATGGGGGGGAATCTTTTCATTTTCTCACACTTTCTCCTACAAAGGTGGAAGAAAAATGTCAGGAAAATATGCCTTTAAAGGCTAGAAGAGTCTATCCAATCTGTGAAAACGTTGGCACTTGCTTTAGGAATGAACACTGTATTATGGTATCTGCCAAGCATTATTCGACTGTTTATTCCACAAAGTATTCATGCCATGCACCTTTCTCCATCCCAACCAGGAAAGGCCTCGGCAACACTGCAGAGTTTATGGTACCAGGAGGTTAATTTTTTTTTAGAACTAATTTTGCTGATATATAATCGCTGGTATAAATGTTGGCACTTCCTTAACTAAAGTTGTGATAACGAGCGTCGCTATAATGAAAACAAATGAGATTAATGGTCTTTTCCAGGTTTTTATCTGGCAGCAGCTGCGAGATTGAAATTCCTTTTGCTGTGCCTCAGACAGGGCTGTATTTTCCCCCCAGTCCAAACGAAGCACTGCACAATTTACCTGCTTGGTCGTTTCTTAGAAAACCCAAATGGTCTCGGGAGCACCCGAGTGTGTGTTCAGGTTGAGGAGAACTGTGCAAATACACGGTGGCTTTGAAAGAAAGAGCCTGCAAATTTCAATCAAGAAAAGGGTGTAGGTTTCCTTTTGTAAAATAAACATTATTTAGTATAAATAATAAATAGGCAAAAATCAACTCCTTTCTCCAAATATGATGTATGTAACAGCCGGAATAATTCAGTTTTAATGCCAAAGCACAAAGTCATTTTAGAGACATCTCTTGACTGCCAAGTGCTTTCTTTTTCAGCATCTTGGTTGATAAACTTACGGTGTACAGCTGACGTCATTGTTTTATTAAAGAATTACACTTTGCCTGTTATCCTGTTGCTTATTTGTAGAGTTACTGCAACTAATTCACATATTAAATATTAACTCCCAACTAAAGAGAATGTGTCTAGCTAAAGGACTTATTTAACCAGAAATTTAATCCAATGAGAGACCACAATGCAGGATTACGATTCCCCTGTGCTAAGAAATGCACGATCTCTCAGTTTCTTCCAAGAACATACAAGAGATTCCACATATTTTCCTTATTGTGTTCAGTAACAATATTGTTGAGTAAATATTTGCACCAATACATTGCCATTTTAGGATTTCCTGGGTGGACGTAGTCTCACAAGGTAAATAATTAAAGGCTCTGCCTTCTTGGGTAGCACAAAGCCGTGCTTGATATAGGTTTGATTATTTCACTTGTCTCTTTGATAATCCATAACTGTCTTCTGTAATTATTTTCATCGTCCAGCCAAGCAAAGATAAAAGATGGAACACGTCTCTTTTGCCTACTCCCAAGGAAACTCCATTATCCTTGAAAGGTCATGTGACTGCCGCAAGTCCAATCTGGGTTGCAAGAAGCAGTCCGCAAGGACCAGCAGAGTGTGAGCCGAAAATGAAGTTGTTACCAGACAGCAAACGGCAGCCCTCGCTTCTTATGAATATTTGAGTGAGTAACTAAAAACAGCTCAGTAAACTCTAAGTAACTGTGACAGCTGAAACTGCCTGGAAACCAGGAGTCTACGAGGACCACGATGAAAAGATCGCTAGTTACCTTGTACCTGGTGCTGCCCTGGGTCTGTGGAGGGGCGTGTTGGATCTCTTCCACTCAAATAGAAGTTAGGGAAAATCTGATTAATCTCTGCACTTTCAGAAGTCAGACAGCCTCCAAATCTCCTGTGTTATTTTGGAATGCATTAAAATGCAATGGTTTCTAACAATCTTTTCAAGGCAAGAGAATGACCACATTTTTTTTTCCAGATCCTGAAATATTGATGGTGCTGTTGTTTTTACTCATCGAAACTTGGCCCTCGTCAATCTTTCATGATGATATTTCTGCTCATTCCGATGAGAAACAGTGTCCCTAAAGCGAGAGACTAATTCTTCCAAAGCTTCTAATAAAAAGTTACCAGGTACATGGCTTTCCTTATCTAAGCTCACATAGGGTTATTGAATTGTTTTTTTTTAGAGTTGGATAAATAGCTGGTTTTGTTGAAGCAGGAAATTTGTAACAGATTTTGCCATGTAGAAAAATTCTAGAAAACAATTGTAGAGGATAATTTCAAAGGAAAATTGAGAGTGTACGCACTTTTCTTTGGCCTCCCTGAATATGTAGACAAAAGATCACCACTTCAATTATCTTCTCCAATTTGCTGGGAAATAATGTAGTACATAATTTTCAAGTTGGTGCCTTTAACTGGAAGAAGAGAGCCAGTTATTTAGTTCCTTTAAGTGTGTACAATAAATTCCACTTAATCCCACTTAGTTCTGTGCATTTTGATGAATAGTTTAAATAAAATGTGAGCCCTCTTATAATCCATAAATCCCTAACAAAAAGAAACTACACAGTATATATATCTATCTAAAGTGGAAATTGCTGCAGTTCAAATCCAGTTGCTCACGGAAGATAAAAACCACACTGAGAGGAATCTTGGTGAGGTTACCATTTATTCAGTGGTTATTTTTAATAGCTGTATGAAACATGAAGTTTCAGACAGAAAGCCTTTCCAGAAAGTCCCAGAAGACAGTGACTGTGGCTTTTATTGCTGATGACTTTGAGTAAAGCAGTGATAGTGGGGACCACAGAGACTGTCCAAGAGGCCTCTTCTGTAGGACCTCTGTCCTCAGTGCTGGAACTGAGCCGGTTCAACTCCATGGTGAGGCCGCTGCTCCAGCTCCCAGCCTTGTCTGGGTAGTGACAGACACACCAAGATCATTTGGTTTCTCCTTTCTCTTTAGCCACGTGTGGCTTTAAGACTGCTGTGAGCTATGGCCTGATTTCTAATTCAGCAGTAAAAATGGAATGAGGTATGCAAAATGTAAATCTGATTTATACTCACAGAGAGGAGAGCCTTGAGAGAGGAAGGAGCTAGACAGAATGTCGGTCACGTCCACGTTAGAAACTAGCCCCTTAAGGTGGAGAGGGACACGGTGACTCTGAAGTGAAGCAGCATGAGGAGACAGAAATCCGTTTTGATACTGAGAGTTAGTCACATTTAATGCCGGCGGCAAAATCTCACTAAACCCAAGATCTCACTCAACCAGATGTTGAAGAGGAGGTTGGAACTATAGCTACGTGGGTTTCAGAAAACCCTTTATACTCTGCTGGCTGGTCTCTCATCTGCGTGGTGTAGTGAGACTTGGATCGGTGACCCCAGAGGCAGAGATCTCAGAGCTGGGAGATCTGGGTTTGCATTTCTGATCCATCACTTATCAGTCGTGGAAGGTTCCTGAACAACCTTCATTTAGGATGAATCGTGGCTAGCTCCCCCTGGGAGCGCTGTCTGTGGACAGAAGAGGTGACTTACATGGAGAGCCCACCTCTGCGGAAGTTCTGATAAATCCAAGTTTTCTTCCTCACTTTCTCCACAGTACTAATTGAACAAGATCAAGTTTTCCTGCAATGTATTTGAAAAGAAGTGGGATGAGGCTTGTGCGGGGTTGCTGTCTCAAGGGTATCATGGTGCACATGGCACAGGTAACAATTTTTAAAACTTAATGTTACTCTCATCCAGGAAATGCCAAGAGAGAAGGAGGTGAAGAGCAGGGCCCACTGCTATCACCAAATATGACATCTCTGATACTTACTCTTTTGTTTCACAGGCTGTGATATAAACTGTTTTATGTCCCTGTGCAATATTTTAATTTTGAAGGTCATAACTAGGTCAGAGTTTGAAGATAAAAATCATCTCCAAACACTTGTACTGGGGACCATGAATATTCATTGACATGTGCTCATTTGTCATTCATTGTATGGGGTTTTCTAATATAAATGGAAAAAAATTCCTACAACCAAGTAATCTGAAAGTGGCCTCAGAAGACCAGAGAATACCCCACCAAGGGTACAATTCAGGGTCTAGTCCAAGTAGTTTATTATTACTTGAATGTATGGAAAAAATCTCCACTCATTAAAAATAACCCTGCCTTTATTATACATCCTCTTAAGATGACTCAACTGTAAAAGCCAGAAAATCCACTTTAGATAGTTCGTTTAAAGAAATCATCACATTGGGGTTCACATGTTTGAGAAAGCTTTCTTCCCAAGGGCAACTAATTGGAAATGGCCTACTTTCCCCTCAATAGAGTGAATAACAGTAATGCATGTCATGGAATATGATATTGTCCTTAAAAAGAACAAAGCAGCTGGGCCCTGTGGTAGATATCTGAAATCCCAGTGACTTGGGAGGCTGAGGCAGGAGGATTGCACATTTGAAGCCAGCCTCAGCAATTTAGTTAGACCTTGTCTCAAAACAAAAGGTTAAAAGGGATGGGAATGATGCTCAGTAGTAAAGTGCCCCTGGGTTCAATCCTCAGTACCAAAAACCAAACCAAAAACCAACCCCAAACAACAATAACAACAACAACAACAAAACCCAAAGCAGATATGTGCATGCTACTCCAGGAAGGCATCTATGATTCATTATTAGGGAAGAGCAAATTACTGAGCAATGAAACTAGAATGTGCTAATATGCATGTATTCTTGACACACGTATTTATAAGTGTATACATCATACAAACGTGTGTATTAAGCTAATAGAAAACTATTTGAAACAATACATAGGTAGCTCTTTATAGCAACTAATAGGTTAGTGTAAAAAATCACTTCTGCAGTGGTGTAACCAGTTAATCACAAATGCATTACTTTTGCAATAAAAAATCAAATTTAAATCAAATGAGTCTAGGTCTTGAAATGACTTGGAAAATGAACACGTTCCTTCTGGTCCTATTCTCAACTCCCCACCTCCCCAGCTATTTAAAGCCTATATGCTTCAAAAACATCAGGGCTAAATATGTCAAGTAAAGTAGTTCCTGGTGTTGGCTCTCTTGTTTTTTTTCCCCTTGAATCTAATTATGATTCTTCTATTAGCTATTTGTATATTTCTCAGCTTTCTGACCTATAAAAAAAGTATTTGATAAAAACAAAGAGATTGGGTAGAGAAATTTCCTTCTAGCTCTGAGATACTCGGCTTCTGCTGAAACTAAGCGAGGTTCATAGTCCTCTGCAGTATAAGACTTGCCCCCACCAGCTGCATCTTGTACAGTGGCTAAATCATTACTTCATCGGAGCTGTGGCTAATGGTGGTATCATGTATCATTCATCATGCTCTGTTTAGTTCTGATGGTTTTGTTCTGAGCATCTTGAATGTGACTCTGTAGACCCGCAATATCTTTAGACCTGCTCAACCCTGCAAAAGGAAAGTTCTGAGGTGCCAACCTTCTATTTGGGAAATGATAGGTGTACCTCCTATCAGTGTTGACAGGCACCCAGGGTGCATTCTGCTCTCCCCCACACTCCTGGGCTGCTTGTATGTGAAGTTAAATCTTTGTCCCAGCTGGCGAGGACTCAGGGTTGGGGTCAGAAGACCATGGAGCTTTGTGTCACAGAGCCTGTTCATCTTATTGTTCAACGGGTCTGTGGATGTATTTGTGGCAAGCTGGCCTTTTGAGCAAATGCATTATGAATAAAGGCCACCACGATTTGTTTGTCACCATTAAAGTTATTTTGCTTTCTCCGACCAGAGTGAGGTCGTGAATTATTCTCCTCTGATGAATCGGGTAAACGCGGCTCCAAGGATCACCCACTGCGTGTAGAGGAATGAGAGGAAGATGAGGTGCTGTGCCTGCCTTTGGAAGATGAAATTTGTTTTGCAGGAGAAAGAACGAAAACAAAATAGAGCTACAAAAGTAGAACATTATGTGCCATTCCAAAAAAAGCATCAAAGGTAAGGGTGGTGAATGGAGACATACAAAGCTATGCTCCAAGGAAGCACTGAAGTGGGTTCTTGAGGGCGTTAGAAAAGCTCTTACTCAGAAACATACACGGGAGAAGACTCAGAGATTTTTACGATATCCCTATTGCAGTCTTATAATGATCAGATAGGCCCCATCGGACTGATTCGAACTTAACAAGCTAAAATAAAGTTATCACTTTTACATTTCCAATAGAACCAGAAATTGAAGAGGTTTAATTTCTAAGTCCTAGATGATATCTTGTAAGGAAGAAAGAAAATACTAGCTCTTTTAAAATTGATTTTTATCCCCCATTCTTTAAATTTTTCTACTCTTATATTTGTTTGATAATCCTTGTGAAATATTAGCAAATTTTACACTTAAATAATTTATAGATTAACATTTGTGATTATGGCTGCCCACTGGGAATATTAGTTTTTAGAAGATGTATTTGTTAACTTCTTGCTCTCAGTTATTTTGTACATTCTGATGAATCATTTAAATGACACTTATAGGAATCCCTTATCCAAAAGATTTGGAAATCAATACTTCTGGAAAAAATAACTTCTAATTTAACTTGTGCTATAAATTATTATCTTTCTATAAGGAATCTTACAAAAGGCAAATCCAGAATTACTTCTGAATTTCTTACTTATCAGTAAAGGTTGGTGGAAAGACAGTCTCCCTTCAAATGGGTCTGGCTTTTAAGCTAAGCCATTGGGGATTTTCACACGGGTGGCATGTTCTGAAGGTAAGAGTTTTCTCTCTTACTCTATGGTTTGGCTGTGTGATACTTTTGGGGTTTCTGTGATTGATGGGAGGTAAAGTGACTTGGATAGGATGAACCACTCAAAGCTTCCCTCACCACAGTGCTGTGGGATAGGCTCTTCCTCCAGTGTCCAAACCCTACACTAGGTACACTGCATTATCTTGTGCCACCAGCTTTGTCTCCCCATTTATTCTCTTGGAATAGTCTGGAGAAGGCTGGCTACTCATATCGAAATTCCCACCTAATCCTGTGCAATATCTTGAACACCAATTGATATTTGGTTTGGATCAACGGAATGTCTACTGATTGTGTAGCTCATGGAGGAGATGAAGATTTGTGTCTTATTTATTTTTAAATTTATTAATTTATTTTAATTAGGTGTATATCAACAGCAGAATGCATTTTGATTCATTGTACATAATTGCAGCACAACTTTTCATTTCTCTGGTTGTACATGATGTAACGTCACACCCTATGTGCAGTCATACACATACCTATGGTAATGATGTCCATCTCATTCCACCATCTTTCCTGCCCCCATACCCTCTCCCCTCTACTCCCTCCCCTTTGCCCAGAGTTCCTCCGTTCCTCTCCTCCCATTATGGATTAGCATCCACTTATCAGAGAGAAGATTTGGCCTTTGGTTTTCTGAGATTGGCTTACTTCTCTTAGCATGATATTCTCCAATTCCATCCATTTATCTGGTAATGCCAGAATTTTATTCTGAGTTCTTTATTATGCTGAGTAATATTCCATTGTGTATATATACCACAGTTTCTTTATCCATTTTTCTATTGAACGGCATCTAGATTGGTTCCACGATTTAGCTATTGTAAATTGAGCTACTATGAACATTGATGTGCCTGTATTACTACAATATGCTGATTTTAAGTCCTTTGGGTATAGACGAAAGACTGGCATAAATGGGTTAGATTGTGGTTCCATTCCAAGTTTTCTAAGGAATCTCCATACTGCTTTCCAGATTGGTTGCAGTCCCACTAGTGATGTATGAGTGAACCTTTCCCCCCACATCCTCACCAACATTTATTGTTGTTTGTATCCTTGATAATTGCCTTTCTGACTGGAATGAGATAAAATCTTGGAGTAGTTTTTATTTGCATTTCTCTAATTACTAGAGATGTTGTGCATATTTTCATATATTTATTGATTGATTGTATATCTTTTCTGAGAAGTATCTGTTCAGCACCTTAGCCCATTTATTGGTTGGGTTGTTTGTTTTGTTGGTGATAAGTTTTTTTGAATTTTTTATATATCCTGGAGATTAGTGCTATATTTGATGTGCGGGTGGCAAAAATTTGCTCCTAAAATGTGGGCTCTCTCTTCACCTCATTGATCGTTTCTTTTGCTGAGAAGAAGCTTTTTAGTTTGAATCCATCCCATTTATTGATTCTTGATTTTGATTCTTATGCTATAGGAGTCTTGTTAAGGAAATTGGGGCCTAATTTGACATGATAAAGATTTGGACCTACTTTTTTCTTCTATTAGGCACAGGGTCTCTGGTTTAATTCCTAAGTCCTAGATCCACTTTGAGTTGAGTTTTGAGCATGATGAGAGATAGGGGCTTAATTTCATTTTGTTGCATATAGATTTCCAGTTTTCCCAGCACCATTTGTTAGGCTCTCCTTTCTGCAATGTATCTTTTTGGTGCCTTTGTCTAATATGAGATAACTGTATTTATGTGGGTTTGTCTCTGTGTCCTCTATTCTGTACCATTGGCCTACCAGTCTATTTTGGTGCCAATCCCATGCTGTTTTTGTCACTATTGCTTTATAGTATAGTTTAAGGTCTGGTATAGTGATGCCACCTGCTTCACTCTTCTTGCTAAGAATTGCTTTGGCTATTCTGGGTCTCTTATTTTTCCAAATGAGTTTCATGATTGCTTTTTCTATTTCTGTAAGACATGATTCTGGGATTTTGACTGGGATTGCATTGAATATCTATAGAGCTTTTGGAACTATAGCCATTTTGACAATATTAACTTTGCCTATCCAAGAGCATGGGAGATCTTTCCATCTTCTAAGGTCTTCAGTTTCTTTCTTTAGTGTTCTGTAGTTTTCATTGTAGAGGGCTTTCACCTCTTTTGTTGATTCCCAAGGGTTTTTTTTTTTTTTTGAGGCTTTTGTGAATGGGGTAGTTTTCCTAATTTCTCTTTCAGAGGATTCATCACTGACATATAGAAATGCATTTTATTTATGGGTATTGATTTTATATCGGGCTATAGTTACTTTTTCAAGAAAGAATGAGTAGGTATTCAGAAAAACTTTTGCAACTGTAGATTGGTACTCTCTTTTGATTTATAAAATGGTATTTTCTGAGCTAAATAAAAATGAAAAAATGGAGTTTTATCAGTGATATAACCATAATGCAGGACATTCTCTCTCTCTCTCTTTCTCTCTCTCTTTTTTTTTTGAACCCATGGCCTTGTGCATGTGAAGCAAGCATTCTACCAACTGAGCCATATCCCCAGCCCCAGGACATTTTTAATATCTATATTAGCCAGGGTTCTCCAGAGAAACAGAATCATGTGTGTGTGTGTGTGTGTGTGTGTTTGTGTGAGAGTGTGTGTGTGTGTGTGTGTGTGTGAGAGAGAGAGAGAGAGAGAGAGAGAGAGAGAGAGAGAGCGCGCACTAATGAATGAAGGAATTGGCTCATGTGACTTATAGTGGAGGCTGCCAAGTCCAAAAGCTATAAGGTAGGCCAAGTGATAGCTTTACTCAAAGTCTACTCATTTACATGTTAATCTCATAATTAAAACCTTTCCAGAAACATCTAGAATAATGATGGACCGTAAATATCAGGGTACCATGGCCTGGGTGAATGACCCATAGAATTACCCTCCACAATAAAGTCTTTGGGAACTTCCACTCTCGGACTCGGCGACTACTATGGGGTAGTGCTTCCTCATGAACCCTTCTGTTCTAGAAAATGATTATAGTTCGGTGATGTCACTTTCAACAAAAGCATCATGGTATTGGTTATTCGGAGGAGTCAGAATAAGCTTTGATGACTGAAGTCATAAACTCCCTGTCAGACACCAAATTGTTAACCAGGTCCTATCCAAAGAGACCAAAGGAGGGGTGTCTGATGTGGACTATATGTTAGATACACACTTCCCTATGGAGTTGAGTAAAGCACAGAAGGTGATGTAGGGTAGGGGAAGGCTCTCCCAGTCACCTCCCCAGGGAGGAGAGGAGACATTTTCACTTTCACCAGATCCATACCTTTTTAAATCAATACATTTTGCAAACGTTAGTCCTTTTCAAATTGGAAAACACTGAACTAGTGTTTCAAATTAGTATTATTAAGTAAGTCATGGTCAGCACCTACTTCCAAAAATATCTTCGAGTTCAAATCCAAAATTGCATCTCCCAAAGATGCAATTGAATGCCAGGGAATGGAAGTGGTGGTTTCCTGTCGCCCTGCCCCAGTCACCTGCTGGCAGCTGTGTCCCCCATCTCCTGCTGTATCTCAGTGCTCCTGACTCCGCAGGGGCCACTTCCCAGCTGTGTCCATTGGCTTTCATGGCCCTGACCTCTTGGCAGCAACCCTGGGGCCAGCAGAGGAAGGCTGTGTAGCAGAACCTACCTCGTTTTTGTCCCCTGCATGCACTCAGTTCTCAGGGGCTGATAAGCAGAAAGAGTGAACTGCAGGGGAGAGAGCTCATGAGGGAAACGAAGCCCCTAGCAAACCAAAGCCTGCCGTGGCGACACCTTTGCTCCCAGCTTTCCGTTCTCCTCCTCTGATCAGATGTTTTCTATTAGAGCCTCCTTCATCTCCATCTTCATCTATCTTTGGAAAATACCTTTTACCAACCAAGGGTTTGTCTTATCCCATGACTGAGTCCCTCCCTCAGCAGTCTATTTCCTCAAGGTTGAGCTAGGAAGTCTAAAATGAGGTCCCAAAACTTCCACGATTCATGACCTTTGACACCCTGAGCCTCACCCCAGAGTCCAGGTGAGGGTGGACATTTTGAGTCTCCTGTAAGAGCTTTCCAGCTGTGTGAGTGAGTTACAGGTGTATCTCCTAATTCTTCAGGGGTCCCAGTGAGTAACCACTGGCTCATGCGCGCGCGCGCACACACACACACACACTCACATACTCATACACTCACACACTCACACACGTCAAGGATGAACTTGATTCTTACTGTGAACTCTAACTACATATGGCAATGACATTTTTTCTAGCTCATGCATACCACACCTCTGCCCACTAATGATGCCAAATGTTTACATCGTGTGCATAATGGTCATAGCTATTCTTAATTTTCAATGTGCCCCTGGGCTTCTTGAGCCAAGAACTGCCCAAGAGATGGAGGCTATGGTTTGAGGACAGCTCTTAGCACATAGAAGTCCCAGCTTTGAAATTCCCTCAGATTAAGC